TCGCACCCAGGACACTCGTCCGTCTCGTCTGATTCCACATTGGCTTCCGGTCTGTCGGGGACAAACAATGCCAATAGCAATTTCCCCGAAGAAGTCCGATTGCGCCTACAGATCCTCAGAAACCAGGTTGCGTTTGGCGAAGAGCAACTGAACCGAGGGGTTGCGCCCCCAATGGACCATATCATTCGCATACGTACACAATTGTTCGCTCTGCTCGACGACCAATATCAGAACCCACATGCTGAACGCGACGGCTCGATTGAATCGTTGCTTACCCGCGTCTTCAACATCTATACCCGCGCCGATCAGCTCCGCGTCTCGCAAGCTCGAACCATGCCCACACCTGTTCTATCTGGACCTCCCAATCCCACACCAGGGCAAGCTCCTCTGTACCTCCTCTCGTCTCCAAACGGCTATCAAGCCTTGGTTGCATCTCCCCGCGGCGCGGAAACGATGCAGTCGTCTCTCGATGCGCTCCGAGCCATGCACTCCCCAACTGGAGCCTCAGCGCCTCGTACGGGTGCCCCGCCGGAGATTCACAATGCAAACGCAGTTGTCATGGAGAACATCGTCCGACAGGCCGTACTCAATCAGCGCCTCGAAAATAACGGACAGTTGAGCTTCACGCGCAATCTCCGACGCATGTGGCTATTTGTGCGCTTGTATTTCTTCTGCTACATGTTCAGCGAACCGGGCACATGGTCCCGCGTGGTGTATGTGACTCTGGCCGTCCTCGTCTCGCTCCTGTCAGAAACCGGGGTCCCACAGCAATTGTATCGAATGCTTGTGGCGCCAGTGCAACGACACCTGGAAGGACTGGTTCATTTCGCCCCGGACGAACCGGCCCCAGCACCATCCGGCACGCCGTCAACAGGCCAAGGGAATGTTCCTCTTGCTCAGCCAACCGGACTGCGACACCAACTGCGACGCGTGGAACGGTCTTTGGCGCTCTTCATTGCAAGCTTGGTTCCCGGCGTGGGCGAGAGACACGTAGAAGTGCGCAACGCTGCAGAAGCGGCCCGGAACGCAGAGCGTGCGAGAGAGGAAGAAGAGCGGCGTCGACGGGAGGAAGAGGCCACCAACGCAGGCACGACTGGTGAGGCACAGACACAGGCTCAGCAGAGCAGCGAGAACGAGCAGAGAGAGACGGGCGAGAACGCACCCAACACGATACCCCCAACTGAGAATTAGCCATAACGGAGCCATTAGACTTGTACTGAGTATACTCGGTGGTTTGAAACTTGAGTTCATGATGTATTGATAGTTGCGACCATATTTCCATACCGCCTAATGCGGCAAGATATCTAGTCTATTAGCGCAATATATTTACTACTTACAGCCTGAGTGTACTTTATCCCCGATGACATCCACATCCACACCAAGTCCCATATCATGGTATCTATAACTTACTTCCCCCCAAATCAGTCTCAACCGACGACTCCACACTAGAAGTCGGAGTAGCCGACGGACCAGCCATGGGGCCCGTATCAAACGACTCATCACCATCGAAGTGCCTATATCAGCGAACAGTTAGCAACCAACCACCATCCCATACCGAACCAAACCAAGACAGAAACGAATATTATGAAAAAGAAGAAGAGAGAACAGAACATACCATCCCCTCTCCGCCCCACCACTCAAAAACCCACAATCCCCATTCCTCACACACTCCCACCCCCCAGCAACTCCCTTTCCCCCCTTCCAATCAGGAACTTTCACCCCTCCATCTAGTAGTACCTCCGTACCCGGCGCAAGCTCACCCCCATCGCCTACCTCCTCTCCATCCTCCCTAAAACTCTTACCCTCCCCCTCTCCTACCCTCCTCCTTACGAAGGTACTCACCCCCGCCGTATACACCTTGAAATCCTCAACCGAAGAATCCCTCGGCATATCCCCCGTCAAGGCCCGTCCCATAGCGATCAGCGGCGCAGCATGCGCGCAGATCAGGATTGCTTTGCTGGTCCGTTGATCGGGAGGGAGTGATGCCTCGAGGGCGGAGATTTCCTCGTCGACGGAGGTGATCAGGGCAGAGAGGGTAGTTGCGACGCGGTCGTGGAGCTGGGCGATGGTTTCGCCGCGGGTGGAGGGGTGGAGGATTGGTTTGTGGGTATGTCCGTGTTCATGTACATGTTCATGTTGGGATTGGGATGGGAGGATGGTAGGGAAGTGAGTGGATAGGACTGAGGCCGGTGCGGGAGTTGGGTGGTGGAAGAAGGTTGTTGGGCCGAACCATTCTCTATGTATTTTTATTATATGGTTAGTATCGGTTTCTGTATAGTTTAGTTGGTGTGGAGGGGGCAACGTACCCCAGGCCGGGTTCAGTGCGGACGGTTAAGTCGGCGTGGGTGTCGATTGCGGGGGGTTCGTTGGTAGTACCGGGGGTGGTGTTTGCCTGCTGCTGCTTCAATGCTTCGACTGTGGGTTGGATTGTCTGCAAACATCGGTAGAATGGACTGCTGTAGATGCGGAATGGCTTGGGGGATATGTTGTCGCTGGTGAAATGGGCGGCCAGTTCGTGGGATTGGCGCACGCCGTGAGATGTCAGGGTTGGATCCGCTGGATTACCGGTTGGAGTAGGGAATTGGGCGTGGTAGGTGCCGGTTTTGTAGTCGATTGTCCAGTTGAGGCGGTGCTGGAGATATATTGTTAGTGTTGGGGATAGGATATGGAGGGGGTAGTATGTGGTGGGTGGGTGGACGTACGCCATGGCGGGTGAGGTATATTGTGTCTAGAGGCATGTTTACAGGACTCAAGTATAGAAATTGGAGAAGATAGGGAGGAGGGAGTGAATGTAGTTGTGAGTTGAACCGGTTAAAGATGGTGTTGATAAATGGATAAGGGAGATGTTGCGGGGAAACTTGGGGCGGCGGTCAGACCTCGGCCCGGCCAAGTCTTAGATCTACTCTGCAGCTAATGATTACACTACTTGCATATGTTGTAGAACAATAAATGATGACTGGAATCAGTTCATTCGCGAGATCACTCGATCAATAACTATCTAGACATCTCTGCCGGGTATCGATCCAACTCCGCCAAGCCACGAGAGTTCATCCCTCGCACCACAAACTAGATCCTCGCCATCAAAAAAAAATCTTCCAGGGTAAACTTTTTAGTAGAAGAAACCGAGGAGCTTGCCGGCAACGTGCTTGCGGCGAGCCTCCTCGTGGTCCATGATACCAGCGGAGGTGGTCAGGACGACGTAACCGAACTGACGGGAGGGAAGGAGCTGAGTGGCCCACTTCTCGAGGTCACGGAGCTGAACGGGGTAACGGGGGTTGATGACACCGCACTTGTTCAGACGGCCGTTGAGCTGGATGACGATCTTGCCGGAGCGGTGGTCGTCAACCTCCTCGAACTCGCCAATGTAGCCTGAAGAAGGAAAGATAATCAGCAATTTGTTGCGGTGATTTAAAAGTTAACCAAACACAGAAGAAATAAAAGAGTTCCGGAAACTTGTAAGATCGCCGCCATGTTGTAAACAACACTTGTCAATATCTCGGGCACTTAAAGGGCGAAAGCCGTGGTTGGTCTATAACCGTCGCCTAGTTATCAACCCGAATTTTTCTTCATTCAACACCTTGACGGATCGACCTTGCAAGTGCCCGGAACTCTTCTTTTCTTGTGGCATTTGGTAATGCGTAGACATGAACATACCGTGCTTCTGCATGACGGAAAGGAACTTGATGATGACCTTGGAGGAAGGGCGGATCAGGACCTGACGGCGACCGCTCTTCTCGGCGTTGTTGATGGCGTTAAGCGCATCGTTGAGGACGGAAGTCTTGACCATTTTGACGGTGTAGAATCGAGATTCTCAAATCGAGGAATCGAAGGATATGAGGTATCTAAATATTTACAATGCCCAGTCCTCACACCATCGGTGAGGAATTGGGTCCATAAGAGTCAGCCACCAGTAGTCCTCGAGCGCAAAGAGTGCCCCTTTTGCATAAACAAGGGTTCTTCAGCCCGTGCCGTAGTGAGGAAAGCGTATCACCCAGTCCTCCGATCATCGTATGCTGTCGGTTACTACACCAGCAAGGCCGAATATGCGGATTTCCATGGTGATTGCTCCCTCAGACTAGCTGGGAGGCTGTAGAATAGGGCGAAATAACGATTGATACATACCTCGAGGGATGTGTCGACGACGTCGGTAAGATCGAGTGTAGGAAGAAGAATCTCGCGGATCTTTTGGAGGTGAGAAGTTTTCGCTGTGCGGCCACTAGGGCTGCCGATCCGTGCCCTTATCAGTCACGTGTTTCTCACCGCTTCAATTGATGCCTCAGGCATAAACACGATTCTTGGCCTTCACTTACGACGCTTGTGACCAATTTCAGTAGAAACCAATTTCTATAGGGCTCTTGAAATTTTTTGACTTCATCTTATTTACTGTGCAGGCCGCATATTTGACTCGTACATAACAATGTAATGCCACATCCCATACCTTGGGTTTTTATCACCAATGATAATGGACTCGGGCATGAAGACAAGTCTATCCCGACAATCACTCGGTTACGCATTACTATTTGCTCTCATGCTGTTTCTTGCTTTTTACCATTCTCTATACAGGTCTTTTGGTAGGATGAGGTGATACGTGGAGCAGGGTCAAGGGATTCGTGACAGTGTTTCTCAAAGGGGGTTGGTTACATGACTTCTCGGGCATACATGATAATGCTAAAGAACCTCTGTCTAATTAAAACTGATGTGGGGGTGCAAAGATGTGGCAAAGTGGATAGTAATAGTAGAGGAGAAGATCGAAACAAAAAGGCCGGAAGGAAAAGTGCAAACATGCATTGCGAGATGTCATGACAACAGGGGTCCGAAAGCAGGGGGTTCGTGCCGGACAGAGGGCCGAGGTGTTGGGGAGGGGGAGAAGGGGAAGGTGCGTGGGAAGGGGTAAGGGTGCTCAAAAGGTGTCATACATCGGTGATAGGGAGAGGGTCGTTGGGCAGGGATGGTGATATACGGGGTCGATGGAAACACTAGCCCTTATGCGCTGATTCACTGGGCACGGCCTAGTGAACCCTAGGATTTGAGCAATCAGTAGCACAATGCGACTTGGGTTCCCGTGTGGGGACGGGTGCTCGGGGGAGCAGAGACAATGTCGTTGCTACCCTGAGAGCACCGACGGATGAGGTCGTCCTCCTAGGGGTGCGGTCTCGGAAGCGAGCACCTGGGTTTGGATAGCAGCACATAACAGCGGCTTACGCCATAGCTGCGGCAGTGGACATCGTGATTTGACGCTTGACCTGCTCACGAGTCCACCGGGCGGTGTCAATGGTACGAGATCCAAACTCCCTGTTGGTCCTCGTCTCACGGACCAGACTGGTGACCCAGTCGTTACGGAAGTAGGCAGCAAACTCGCCGTTGGGGAAGGCATCAGCCAGATCACTGGAGCATGTTAGTCACGAGGCCAGAATTGTGAGAGTGAAGGAAACCTACCCAATAACACCCATGGTTGCCCTCATCAGACCCTCGCTGCGGTTGAAATCCTGGGAAATGGTGTGGAGCAACTGGAAGATGTGATCCACGAAGGGATGCAGTTGGGAGACTAGCATCATGTTAGTTAAGTGTTCGTTGCTCCATTTCTGAAAATAACGTACCCTGAGGCTTGCCCTTGTAGGACAGGAGGATACCACCCCAAGCATCCATGATACCCTCACGCAGCGAGACAATGTACTCTTGCATCTCAGGGGTCACGTCGTTGCTGGCGGTCACAACAGAGGCCTGGTGAAGAACCTGGGCAACGACGTTGAGGTAGGTGTCGAACTGGGTGCCAATGGCCTGAGCAATATCACCGAATGTCTCAAGGATTGCAGGCTTCAGCACGTTGGTCGAGGACTAGAGGCAGTGTTAGCAGTTGTTTGTCTTGATGTAGCGAGGATTAGTTCCTTACCCTCAGGATCGTGAGAAGAGCGTTCATGAAACCGTCGCAGTAGGGCTGCACCCGCTCGTTCAAGGCACGCGAGATGTCGCTGACCAGGCCGATGGCCATAGAGCAAAGACCAGGCTCTTCCTGGTTCTCCAGGGCCTTGTACAGGAAGGGGGCAAAGTTGTCCATGTACTTGATGAAGTCATCCTCCAAGGCACCCGCAATGGCACCGATCGTGGCGAATACAACATCAGGGACACTGGACTTGGGGGGAACAGTGGCCAAGATCTGAAGCATGACCTGCATGATGCGGTCGGCTTGGGGCTTGATCTCAGTCTCGAGACGTTGAACGACAGCCTAGGAAGTCAGTCACAGCCGGAAGAATGCCAGAAATGGGATAAACATACAAGTACAACGCTAGTAATGCTAGTCTGCATCTCTTCCAAGGTGATCCGGTCCTCAACGCTAACCACTTGTTGTTGCATGGGGATGGTGTGCTCCAGGCGCTGAAGCATGACGTCGGAGAGGTTGCCCACAAGGGGAAGGCTGTCATTGGCAGCGTTGGTCACAAAGGAGTTGAGGACTTCGTATCCCGCAGTACGGAGCTGGTTGTCTGCATCTTGTCTGCAATTAAGTTAGCGCCTGGCTTAGACAGTTAAATGAAGCTTCGATTACTGGCTTACCTCTCAGTAAGAGCAAGGAGCGACTTGACACTGTCCTCGAAGTGCTTGGACAGAGGGTTGGTCTGGGCGCCATAGTCGCCGGCAAAACGATCGGCAACGTTCATCAGGGCCCAGCAGCAGGAGCTGGCGATCTTGGGAGAGCTTGCCAAGCCGTTGAACAGGCAAGTGATGAGGGGTTGGAGGTGCACGTCAGGGTCAAGGGTTTCAGAGCAGAAGTCACAGACACGGCCAAGAGCGTAGGCGACCGAATCACGGACCTGAATGGAGCTGTCCTGCATCATGCCGACGAGGACGGGAAGAGCCTGCTTGATGAGAGGCTCCAGGACCTTGGGATCGGGGCCATCCATGATGGCGCCGAATGCCGCAACTGCAGCATCCCTGTGGCGCCAATCTTCGTTACGGATGTTCTCCTCGACAAAGGTCAAGACAGGCTGGATCACATCACCCTGCACGCATTGAGCGTAGAGCTGCAGGGCCTGGTAAGCAGCGCGAGAGACGTTGTACTCATCGTCCGTGGCATCCTCATCCTGTCTGCACATGGCCTGCAGGAGGACGGGAACGACTTCCCGGCAGGCGACGCGGGCAAAGCCAAAGAAGGGCCGGACCTCGGGGAGACCCTCTGCTTGTGCCTATTTGACTCACAATTAGCTACGATATCCACAGCATAGCTGTTCTCAGATGATGCGCAAGACTTACCGCCGCGTTGTCATCCTCAATAGCGTATTCCTCCTCACAAACGGTACACCAAAATTCAATGGCCAGCTTAGCCACATCCTCCTCCTCGCTCTTCATTCCCATGATCGACAGGCCAAACAGAGCCTTCTCCATGTAGAAGCGCATCTTATCGTAGTAGGCACCCATGATACGGTTCAAGCAACCGAATGCGCCCGCCTGCACACGCAGATCATCGGCCTGTGTCGCTTCGCAGACAACCTGCATGATGTAGTTCCGCTCACCCTCGTTCTCCATGTTCGACCGCACGAAGTCAACGGAATCACTGAGAGCCTTGATGGCGGCGAATCGGATGTCCATGTTCTGCTCCTCGCGCCGAGCACCCTGAACGACGGCGGTCAGGATAGCATTGGAGTGGGCAGCCAAGCTCTCGCGAAGCTCAGCATCCTGGGACTCGCAAATGAAGCCGATGGTGACCAGGGAGGCCTGCTTCAGTTGATCGGAACCACTCGCGACATTCTGGACGAGGATGTTCATCAGCTCCGGCCACTCGTTACGGGGAAGTTCGATAGCAGCGATGGAGACGATGAATTGGGCGGCAGACTGGCCGGCGCGGCCGTCCTTCGAGTTAAGCGTCTTGAGGCCAAGCTCCTTGACCTGCGCCTTGATTTCTGGGGTAATTTGCTGTAGCCATTTTGTTTGGACCTCCTGGAGCTTTGCGAGGTCTCTGTAAGTGAAAGCGTTCTTCAAAGCGATACCGGCAGCGGTACGGATGTGGGACGCGGAATCTTCGTTTGCGAGTTCCTGACCGAGTGTGACAAGGTACTGGGCCTAAATTCCGGCGAAAAGAGCCATGATTAGTATGCTTGATATAAGACCAATTACTAGCAACGGGATACGTCTAGAACTTACGAAGTCAACCTCCGCCGCGTGGGCCAACTGCTGTTCGGCATGGGAACGAGTCGCCGCATCTATAATTACCAGCAAAATAGCCTGTTAGTGATTCTGATGCCTCAAATCTAGTAACATAATCTGAATACAAGGGACGGGAACAAAATTACCTGGCGAGAGGGTACTCTCCAACACCTGAGTGACGTTCATGTTGCCGTATGCGGAAAACCGAAGCAAGCGATCACAAGCGAAAAGGACAATAAAAAAGAGAAGGTGAAAGAGCTGTTCTGACTCAAAGAGAAAACAAAGCAGACAGAACCAGGCTATTAAAAGACCGTCCACAAGAAAAGAGTGGTAGTGTGGACAGGAGATGGGGGATTATCTCTGGAGGATGGAGGGCAGAGGTTGTTTTTGTGGATTATGACGAGGCATGCACCAGGTCTTCCGGGGGGGTAGAGGAGGGCGAAAAGACGGCGGTGGTGCACGCCAGGACCAAGCAAAACAAGAGGAAAAAGGAAAGCCCCAGGGTCGGATAAACAGACACGGACGGGGTGTAGGATAAGAAGACAAGGATGTCGAAGCTATGCGGATTGAGGAGAGGGGAGAAAAGGAAGTATTGGGGGGAGGAAGTAGCAAGAAGCGAGAAGGAGAGAGAAAGAGAGGGATCAATAATAATGTGAGGGCGATTCCCTTCAATTTGCAGTTCCAGCAGAAGAATGGACGAGCAACTGCGAATCGACCAGTCAGCGCCCGCCAGAGCCCTGTGAACCCTGCTCTCTTATTGGCCGAGACCCGCGGAATTCTTAGGCTTAGTCATTTCACGTGACCAATTGGTGGTCGGTGACGGCTAGTCAGTGACTCGTCCAGATTCGTAGCGACCGGAGAGAAATAGAGGACAAGGCGAATATGATCCCAGGAGATTTTATTATTATTATGCAGAACCTCTCTTTTGCATTCCGCTATCACATAGCTAGTTAATAAGTACTATCAGACAATATTACAAACTTTCCAGGGAGGGGTGCATGCTGGGCTGCAGAGAAGTCGCTGTTCCTTTCCCCTCCCTCACTCAAATCATGGGCGGTGGTCTGGTCTTGTCGTCACCAATTTCACCTTGCAAAAATACGGTATTTTGTAATGGGGAACTGCCAATTCTTGCCGGCTGCCTGCCTGAGGTGCCCCTCCCTCCCTCCCTCTTTGCTGGTCATTTTTGTGTTTTCCCGCAACCCAAATTTTTCCCCTCCACGGGTTTGCTTGTTTTGATTTTGCTGCTTGAAGAAGTGGTCCTCGATCCACTCACTGTGACCCCGGCGACCAGCTCCATCTCTCAGGGCGTCAACCCCCCAACGCACAAATCATCACGGCTGTTTTTCGAGGCATTGTTTTTACTAACTATATCTGTCCACTTAAAGTGCCGGGTGGCTGTTCCATAGAGATTCTTTTGGGTTCTGTGTGTCTATCATTCGCGGGTGGTCGTCGTGGATCGTCAGAAAAACTAACCGCAACTATTCTGACAGCCTAGCTTCGGTGCCTTGCTCCAAGATAAAGCTCTTCCGTAGTACTCCGTACTCTGAACCTTTCCCCTTAACGTGATGGGAGCATTGATCGACAGATGGTCTTCATCAGCTCTGGTGTTGATCGAGGGAATCTTTTCCCAACTGATTGGAATCCTAGTGGAACCGGTAGCTGAGACATGACGTAGTGCAAATTAGCAAACAAAGTATTCTCGGGTTGTGTGTGCTCCGTGCACGGAAAGAGAATCGAGGCGAGAAGAGAGCAGATGGACGTGTCTTGTTGTTGTTATTATCATCATTCCTCCAATTCCTCCATGTCTTCCTCGTCTTCCTCTTCCTCCTCATCCTCCAGCTCCGCATCTAGGTCTAACACTTCATATCGCAGAGCATCGCCATACAGTACGCAGATCGCCCGGCGACCGCGTCTGCCATTGACATCAACTCTAATGGGCTTTGCTTTCGATTTAGCCCCAATGAAAGTATGCTTGATAAGACCCGCAAACGAAGAATCTGGAGACATGAGGTCCACGACTGTTGCGGATGTCACCGGGTCGGGCGATGTAGGTTCCTGCAGGCTATCATGATAGTCCACGGGACAAGGCGCCAGAGACTCGGCAACCGTGTTAGTTTTCATTGTTGCAGTAGGCTGAAATGAAAGGCTAAGAAGGTAAGAGGTTCCTTCTACAGCGGAAGTTAGCGTATCTGGAAAGAGAAAGGTCCACGGACAAATAGGGAAAGCATACTATTGTTCGACCACAAGACTACGACTGTACCATCCTCAACAAACTGAACCTGTCGGACTTCTCCTTCCTGTAGATCGAGTGCTCCGGTAGAGATTCGTCGAGTGGAACTAACACCATTTTCGGAGTCCAACTCAACACGATAGAAACACACTGGATAAATCAGTACGCCATCATAGGAGGGCCTTCATATGCCGGAGTTTGCTTACGCAGATGCTTTTTCTTGATGGATCTAGTAGCAATGTAGATCGCACATTGATCCTTCTTTTCGGTATCCTGCATACCTGATGAGCGATCATCCTTACATAAACCACTGCAATGTCTTACCTCGTTGCACATGACAATATCAATAACATCCTTATCACAGTCGGGATGAAGAGCCAAAGGCGAACGATGAAGTATTCCCCGGCGTTGTGTCAGTGCGATCTGCCCAAAGACCCTCTCGAACTGTAGCCCCAATCGCTTCGTAAGGTCGTTCATCTTGGGTAGTTCAACCGCGTGGGCCTTCTCGGGGCTCTCACTCTGCTCGAGAAGCTTTCTGAATGTGTCATAGAAAGACCTATCCTGGCCGGTTGGAGCCCATTTGTCTGAGGATGTGGTAGGTGGCCTTGGCATCCCCATCATGGGCAGCTGCTGAATGAAGTTCCGCAACTTGCTCTTGGTAAGAGCACTGCGTATGTATTTCAACGTCTGTGGATATTCGACCATGTCTGTCTTCTCCATCAACTCCTCTAGGGTTTGTGACATCGGTTCCGCACTTTGCATGTCTATCTCATGGCGAAGCCATCTAGAGAAACAGCTAAACTGGGTCAATTCTTCATTGGCATGGATTAGTATGTGATGGGCGAGAAGGTGAAGACAATCGAGGGTCTCCACGATGGCCGTTAGGTCTGATGTTTCCAGGCCAAGTACTTCACTCAGTTTATAGAATTTTGATAGCCCGATCAGCCGGCTCAATAATACTTCACATCTCTCTAAAGCGGGAAGAAGGCATTCGTGGGTTAATCGGCGGACATTTTCATAGCCGCTGGAAACAGCCTTTTCCCATCTCTTGTGTCCCTGTAATATGGTCAATACGGATACGATGGATGAAAAGCACGTCATAAGCATACCCTTTCGCCAACAATATCCACCAAGAATTCCCTCAATGGCTCGAAGCAATCCCCAGTAACAACCAGGTGATACGCAGCTGTGACAAAGTCGCAGTGGCATTTCTCCTGCAAGTCCTCATTGACACTGCGCATGTACCTTGTCGGCAGTTCTTGTGCATTTTTCCATTCAAGCTCAATCTGCCTCTGCACTTGACTGATATATCGCAGCAAGTTCTGTAGCTGTGTCGTCTTGTGCGCAAGGAGGGAGAGATATCTTCCTGACCGGGTAATGAAGCGAAGATCGAGTGTGAGGAGATGTAAAGAGCTCGAGGTGGCCTCCGGCGCCAGCGCCAATAATGCGTGTGTCGAGCTGAGTGGATGCGAGGCATGACGAAGGATCTGGCAGGGTCCCGAATTCCCGATAGATCCCCCAACCTGAAGAGAGCCAATCTCGAAACAGTCGAAGATGCGCAGATGGACTGTCCCATTATCGAAGCCTACTAATAATACATCCACCGCGTCGCTAGCGCTTTTTGAGATAGCATGGAATATGGCGTCAATAGACGCCCGCGAACTGAAAACATCATCACTAGATGCCGCGTTAGCTGCGTCAGTCACACAAAAGGATGAAAGACCCACTCGCTGCCTGTTGCTGGTAATGTACTCAGTTTGGGGAGTGAAGACTCGACATCAAGCAATGCTAGCTCTCTCGGTAAGTCAGCCTTGAGCAGAGCTGCTGCTTTGGACGGATGATTGTCCGGGGACAAGAGGTCATCGACGTTGACTTGCCCGGCAGCGTCGTGCATATGCCTCTTTGCTGCTTTGCTGTCGGTGAAATTCACTCCCCAGCCTAAGCAGGTCACCTTGACAGGCGGTGATGATTCGCCTTCGGAATGATAAGCAGGGTAATGGTGAACGGTTTTCCCGCTGTAAGCGCTGATGACCCGGATGGTGTTGTCAGCGCAAGCCACAGACAGCAGATGACCTGCCAATATGTCAGTCTTCTCCAAAGCAAAAAGATGGGATGAGCCAGAAGAGGTGCACGTCCAGATGCTCAACTACGAAGTAAACCACTTACCGGTATTCTTCCACTTCAGTCCTCGAATCTCGCCACCACCATCATCCTCATCAAGATAGGGATCGCCTTTGAAATTGCCCCCAAGAACCTTTTGTCCATTCAGGCGGTAGACAAAAAGTTCATCGTCCTCACTCGACAGAGCGATGAGATCCATCGTGGGACAGTAAGTCAGAATGTTTGCCTTACATTTTGCGGGTAAGGACTTCTCCCCGACAGGCGTGAGCTGCGGCTCATGGGGCGGCCGTGAATCATGATCTTCAGCCATATTAGTTGAATGGGACCTCAGTCCATTATAGAACGGGAAAGGAATCAATTGCTGTGAATGCCTGTACTCCGCGTGTCCAGTCCTGTTGTTCAGTTGTCTTGGATGGATTTCCCTAGCGGATGGCCGAAACTCTTGGCATGCGGGTGTTTGTCGCGTTGGTTTGGCTCGCGTTGATCCGCTCCCGATCTGCTGGGGAAGAGCATATAATAAAGTATGTTAACTTATACCTTGGAGGAGAGACAATAATTATATGCAAGTGTAATATTTGAATTTTATTAACTTGCCCATCATGAGGAATCGATTCTAATCGCTAAAATGCAACGTCATAATTATATACATAATATATCCACACACCACGTGCCCCACTCAAAGTGTATTTTTACAAGTGCGATGAGCAATGTCTCGCCATTCATCAATAGTATCAGAATTCTGCACCTGAGCCAGAATCTATCATGTGCTTCAGATAGCTCAGTTCATCCATCATTTCGCGCATTGCTGCAGATTGCCCCAGTAACGAAACCCTGCTAAAGCGCTCAGGATCCTTGCAGGGTGCAGCCAAGCTATGGGAATTATGGGTGGTCTTGTCGCTGGTGACATCCTCGGGAAATTGCAGCGTCGAGGGGTCGGGGCTCTGTAAGAGGCCGAGACCCTTGATCGACTCGTCTGCGCCGAAAAATGCAGCGTGTCGCTTGGGGTTGCTTTCCACGCGATCTTCGTCATCGATGTAAAGACCGGGGATGTCAAGATCAGAGGGGGATAATGAAATGGAAAGTCGAGGAAGAGGGAGATCCAAGCGAGGCGAATCACCTGCGATGGAAGTGGCCGCTGATTGGGAGTTGACTGTAAGATGGGGTGTGTCTGGATCACTCAGATCCGCAGGTATAGAAGTTTTGAGGAAGTCCATTGTACCAGCGAAGTCGTTCGTAGGAGGTACCTGGGCATCTTGGGTGACAGTGATTGAGCATGCCATAGACTTGGGGGACAGAACATCCGTATCCACTGTCCACTCCGAAAAGTGGCTCCGTTCACACACGGAGCTGCCAGCCACAGACTCAGTATCGGTAAAATCCGAAAAATGGCTGCCTAGAGCCTCAGGATCGAGAGCCTTCTCTTGCTCATCGATGTCCCGAAGCGCTTCATCCATGACTGATGACGGCGTATTGGGCAATGTCGGGAGTCTCTTCTCATCGGTCGTGAAGCCGGTTGGAGTAGTAGCAAGATCGAACGTTGAGGGCCCAATAGCTGTCGATAGCATCGCTGGTGACTCTATGGGAAGTGATCTTCTGACTATATGCCGCTGTCCCTCCCGAGTCGGGAGTTTGTCGGAACTTTCGCTTCCTGGTTTGGTCTGCACGGTGAGAGGAGTTCTGTGAGAGCCATTCTCTGTGATCTTTGAGTTGAGTGCTCGTCGATCCTGGATTGTCAAAGGCACCGAGCGGCGTTCTCCAGAGTTTCCGGATGTGCGGAGGAGGGAATCAGTCGAATGTTGATAAACGTTGCTGGGAGCAGCAAGTGGGGAGCTCTCAAAAGTAGCAGGCGGTTGGACTGCGAGGTAGGAATGTTCTTCTTGCCTCCCAAATAGGCCCTTGAGCCCATGATTTGCAGCGGGCTTATTAGCCCGGCAGTCATCTTCTGTGGATCCGAGATCGGGTGAAGATGTATTCCAATGTCGGAAGGCGGCGCGAAGACCCCTTGATCTAGGCGGCGACACAGAGCGAGCGGCTTTGCATCCGGTTGCTCTCGGTGCGTCCAGGCCCTTCGCCTTCGGGGTTGCGCTACTGGGCTGCGATGCGCCTCTGTGAGTGATGATACCGAGAGGAGATGTGCTGAATGACCAAGCCGGAGCCGGTTGTTGCAACAAAGGAGGAGACGTGCGAAGACGGGGGAGCTTTGGCTTAGGTGGCTGTCGAGGATTCATGTACTTGTCTTCGGGGTTCATGGTTCGGTGATCCGCCTTCTGTGAGCTGGGACTCCTCACGTGTGTATGAGTGGGAAATGTATCCGGGAGGATAACCGGGACGTTGAGAACATTGACTGGTTGACCCGGCAGGAGAGGACAGTGAGTTGTCACGGGCTCTGCCTCATTGTAATATTCTACATCATTGTCCAGCAAGTACTAGACCGATGGTCAGATCGATGTTCTGAGAGTGAAAGATCAGGTGACAACATACATAATACCAGTAAGTACCGCCCATTTTGAGTCCCCCAGAGCGTGCTGGCGTCATATGTGTTGGCGAACCATCACATACGATGTTGGTAAAGGTGTGACATCCTCGCCACTGCCCTGCACCAACACGCTTATCCCTCTCCATGATATAGGGTTGTGAGAAGTTATCCCATGACCCCAGCAGCTTGACCGATTGGACATTGGGGTGGGTGGAGCTAAGATGAATATCAGCAGCGGTCCCTCTATATTGTCAAAGTACACTTACAGGAGGAACGTCATCAAAGTAGTGGAAGCCATTCTCGCACGAAGCAAGTTGACAGTCGTCGATTGGGTAGTGAGTATAAATTAGTGATTGAGTTCTAGAAGACCGCAATTGAAGCGAGGTCCGTGATATAAGCGGCGCGTATTATACAGTAGAAGGAAAGACGATGAACAATGTCCAAGGCCAGCCAGGACAGAGTCAAAATGCGCAATACTGAAGGAGTGTTCTGTAAGCCTAGTCGGGCTGTGCTTTTCAAAAGGCTCGAGCCGTGCAGTTCAAAGGATTGCGCCTGGCCGCGCGGTTGAGAGGCAATATAAGACTCGAGGAAGAGGCTCAGAAGCGCCGTGCCATAACAATCCAGGGGACGTTCTGACACCAACAGTGGGCAATGACTGTTGGAGATCACTGTATCATTAGCCGCGGGGGTGCGGAAGTTAAAATTGGAAGTTTGGTCGGGAGATTGCAACGTTCAATCACGACCAATGATGCAGGGTGATGGAGGGTAGGAAGCGCCGACAAGGCGGAGATTGAGCCCAAGGACGATGATGAGAGGCAGAGCAGAAATTGCGGCGCTTGCTGCAGGAGTCGGACGTTTTGAACCAGACTTCTTATTGAGTTATTAAGAGATTTCACACGTGGTCCAGACAAGTCGGTGACAGCCAGGCTGAACCGGCTTCAGGGCGCGCAGGACGGCCGGAGCAGATCCAATCGGTAGTATGATAGTCACCAAATAGACTCGATGCACAGTGGGTGGACTTGCGGTGGAATTTCAGCAGCTGAATCGATCGTTCGCACGGCGCGCTTATCAAAGATCCACTGGACAGGGCAATAACCACGTCACAAAGGGGATCGGCCCTGCAAGCGAGGATGGATGAGGAGAAGGTTTTCATGGCAACCAGAGAGGGACGGCCGGTTAAGGGGAAAAAAGGCACGATGAGATCCGAGCATGGTTCCTGGGAGATTCGATCCACCGGCCAAAGACTGGGAAAGATGCTGATCACTCCTGGCGAACCAGCGGACACAGGAGTCCATGGGGACCACTACTGCCGTCTAGTCGGAACTTAGTTGGTGGAGACCGAAAGAAGCCCGAGTGATTAATATCGATGGATCACAAAAAAAGCAGCCAGCCACGAAACCGATCCAGTGGTTGACTTGATTGACTCGGGTTGACTCGAGCGTTGCTTGGAGAGACGCCGGGCGGGTGGAAATTCCACGACGGACCCGCGCTGTATTACCCCTTTGGGGGTGCGGTGGCTGGTGCTTGAATATAACCGTACCGTATTGAACCTTGCTTCGCCACTTGAGGCTGGTGAGTTTCCAAGTGACAAAAGTAAAAGGAACCCTCCTGGATACCTTGCAATGCAGGCCAAAAAGGCTATTCTTCATAGCCGAAGTTTGACCCTATACTCGTTCACCATATCAAGCCCATTGCTTCAGCCAGTCATGAAGAGATCCCCAATCCCATTGTCAATGGATGAAAACAAACAGTCGACCCTGAGGGGACACCATCAATACATTACGCATACACCACGATCTCATATCTCCACACCACGTGAGAGACCCGCACCCGCAGGTGGTGCTCGAGGAAAAGAAACAATCTTACCCAATGATACGATACCGTGCCTGGCAGCCTGGGGGCTGAACTTGATTGCCTGCCTGCCTGCCAGTCGCTTCTTCCCTCCATCCTTCTGCTGCAGCCGCCAGCCATTGTTGCTGCATCTCTCCTGCATCTTCCCCCCCGGTTTCATTGTCTCCCTGTTACCCCCATTGTCCCGACGACCAGCCGGATTGCAACACATAGACGAGGAAACCGCCGGTCAATCCGAAGGTGATTTGTCAATTTTCATCTCCTCCCGACCCAGTGTTTCCATCGTACTAACGGAACTAGCACTAGGACAGGGGTCTAGGACAAGGCCGGTGATCCATCCTCACGGACCAGCGCGTCTACGCGCCCAGGGGACTGACTGGCCTTGTTTAGCCAATCAATTTCCCTCCGTCGCTGATTCATTTAGATCAAGTCCCAATGGCCTGCTCAGCGCTTTTGGCTGCACCCCGGCGACCAGTCAGTATCCGTCCTTGACTACTAACTTCCCGGCTGCCGAGCAACTAGGATCGATCGGCCTCCCATGAAATTCAAGGTTTGGAGGACAACAAATAGTCGAAGGCTAATGACAGTAAACCGTATCCTCTAGACTAGCCTCCAGCATCTCTGACAGATGGCTGTCACTAGATACCTAGCACGACGCACTCACCTCTCCATAAAATATGACCAACCAATCGGTTAACCCTGCTTAACTGAGTCGTAGACAGTTCATTTTAGCGGGACTACCCGGGGGGGGGGGCACAGCTGGGCTTCGTAGTTCAAAAGTAGTACAGATAAAGCGCTAATCATTACCTTCTACGCAGACTCGAAAAAAGCAAATAAAGCCGAGAGCAACCGATTTGATTCTCACTATCTGAGGAAGATTGACCAGTCACAAAATCCTATTCTAATACGGTCTGCGGTCTCGGGCAAGCCGGCGGCAACACGGCGCTTGCTGCAACGCGTTTCATCCCAATCCCTGCCGCTGTTACACAAACGACAGGGTCGAGAAGATGAAGGATAGAGTTTAGACTCAAGCTATGGCCTACCCCTAAAAGGGCCGATGAAAAGCAAAACCATGAAGGCAACGAATGTGTAGATGATAAGGGACGAGCGCACGAGAAGACCAGAACCGATCTTCCTTAGCGGTGAAACGACGCTTCGCGTTTATCATATTTCCTGGACACGGCGCCAAGGACGCATTTTAGAATGCCATCGGCGCTCAGCGTCTGCCCCTGATCACCCCTCCACGGCACGGTATCCACAATATCACGGAGACTGTCTTTTTTCTGCATATCGGCCAAATTGTCGTCGAGTTCCTGCAGATACGCCCTTGCCTGGGCATCATTTCCGATCTGGAAGAATTGGATTCCAACCTGCCAAGGCACCGCCTGATATTTCTTCTCGTCCAGCTTTTGCGCAACTCCTGCAATGACACTCTCCGCATCGTCTGTAAATGCCCCATCCGTAATCGCAATTATATTGAGTGGTTTCATGAGTTGAGCCGAATCACGCGATCCATCGCTCTTCGAGATCGCCTTTTGCAAATCTCTCATGTACGGATTGAGGATTTCGTAAAGTCGTTGACCAAAAGGCGTCGGACCATTCGGATACACACTCCCAAAGATCTCACGAACATCATCCGCTGTTCTGATATTCATATACCCACCCTTCACCTTTTCGGCTCCCTGGCGGCGGTGGTTAAGAAAGTAGACGTCAATTCCATCCTGATCATACTGCGTACAAATGGGCGCGATAGCAGCAATAGCATTCTCAGCCTCCTTCCAGCGGTTACCCGTCAGCATGCTCGTACTATCATCCACGATGAAAATCGTATCGAACTCCCGCAGGAAAGAGTATGGAGAATCACTGCTCCCTGAGATGGTCGAAGAAGCAGGAGCAGCAGCAGCCTGTGGTTCATACGGCGGAGGGGCCCAGGGATCTGGAGTCTGGCTGCTATTCATGGCTGCTTTTCCAGTTGACCTGGACACTGGACTTCTGTTCGCAGAGCCGGAGAAGTCGTACCGATGCCTGCTCTGTCGGGAATGAGAGTGGCCCATATTTAATGCTTCTTGGCCACTAGTTGCGGATGATTGAGTATGAGCTTGATCCGGGTACTGATACTGCTCTTGTTCCTGGTTCGGATCTTGGTCTTGAGTCTGACGACGTCGTAGCGAATTCCCTCTGACGAGATTTGATAAAGAGTCGATGCTCTTTCGCATAAAGGGTCCGGGCATGTTGATAGTAAATGAAGGATGCAGGAGAGAGGAAGAAAGGAAGGAAGAATGAAGACAAGGCAGGTGTAACGGGTCGAAACTGACAATGACACAATACCGTTCGAACAGGTAAGTAAGTAAGTAGTCAGGCTGATGTCAGTGCCAGGTGAGATCTTCACTTTGCCAGTCACTACTTAGCAACTGAACAATAAAGAAGTAGTAAGAACCACCACCACTACTACTACCCACGCCAGCGCCGCAACCAACAAACTATATACTATACTACCAAACCCCACAGCACACCAAGGCAGATTCAAAAAATTACTGCATCGGAACTTCCCACAGTACTACCAGTAGTAACCTCCGGATCTACGACACCATATCACAATACTTATGCTATAAATTCCATACAACGAAACAAAAACAAGCATTGTATACGTGCATACGACATAATCCACGGAACTAAGCGCGTGCTGCACTCTCACAAGGCAGAAAACCCAAGAGAGCCTAAGGCAGATAGTAGTAGTAGAATACTATTATGTATGACTTTCAAGGTTTGCTCCGCCCATTTAATTTCCACGGTATGTGGATGTACCACCACGATATTGCCGTGTGACACTGCCTCAATGTGTAAGGAGTATACATACATACCTACCCACTTAATAGTATTCCACAGTGGGGAGAATTCTGCATGCACCGCAAAAGTAAGTAGTCTAGCTAGTAGCTTAGTAGTATAGTCTAGTTGCCAGTTCGGTGATTCATAATCTAGCCTTACAAGGATGGATGTTTTCCCTACTGATTACTAGTAGGCATACTGCACATGCATGCATGTATGCAGGCATGAGGCATGGGTACCAGGCTCAGGGCAAATCGGAGTCAGTGGAAGGAATATTAGAGGGGAAAGGGGGCTGTGTAGAGAACCCTCCTTGCTTACTATTTGGCTTATCATTTCCCTGTGAAGAAGATGAATTGATAGTGTGGAAATTGGATGGAAGTTTCCGTACACAGCCTTCTGCTTGTTGTGTGGTTGCGGGGGAGGGGCTTAGCGTCGCGCAGAAAAGCAGTAAGGCTTAGACTGAGCCAGGCTGTTGGCGTGGGCACAGCCACCATCGGGCACAATGCTGTACTACTACTAAGGTTTGACAGGCTGGGAACGGCACACGGACCAAAAGATTTAGTAGTTAATTAGTTAGTATAATCAATTAGTTGAATTAGATTTGAAGTATGTATTATCTTTGTTACTACGTAGTCTGGACCTCATGTGAAGGCCTATTTGTATATAGTAGGCGCGACGATGTCAGACACCGCATCAACGCTATTTAGACAGATTAATCGGATGTATTTACACGTGGCCTGCCACTTTGTGGGTATTGTCGCAGACACTCACCCCACCTGAGTGGTATATGTACTTCGCGAGGCTCCTGTCCAGTGTTTGCCACTCTTGTCGGTGCTGAAGTTAGCACCGGTCGAGCCGAGTAAAAGGCTATTGTCCTCCGGGAGGGCCAGCGTGTCAAAGACACCATCTTCAGTCATCAGGAGTTCAATCAAGGCCAGCGCCTGATCGATACCCATGCCATGTCCAATCAGCTGGAGACAATCTAATACCCAGTGGCGTAATGGGTGATTTAGCCCTCGCGTTGCGGCTGCCATGGACAGCGGCCAGAGGAGCACCAGACCGCGAACAAAGCCTTGTTGTGAGGGTATCTCATAGCGGGAACTCATCTCCGCTTGTCCAGTGGCGAGCTTAATGACACTATCGGTAAAGTAATAAGGCACACTGGCGCAGATATCGCTGGCGAGCTGTCGGGCAGTGTTGCGGATCTGAGAGGTATGCGTGACAAGATCGGCAGGGAGGGGTGAGCCGGAGTTCAACTCCCGGATACATGTCAGAATGAGATCGCTGGTAATGATCCGTGCGACCCGGTATTGGTTCCACGAGTTGCAGATCCAAAAATCAGTATACACATGATAGACGTTGTTATAAGGCTTGGGACCCCAATTAAGAGTAGGCCAGGGATCTTCGATAGTGGCATAGGGGAAGTTCCCTGGCAAGGACGTGAGCCATGACATTAACTCAGCCTCGATGGCGTATGCAGATTCAAGCATCTTCTTCCGGTCGGTTAAAATCTTTTCCTTGATGTCAGCTCGCAGGTTTGCTAGCCGGCCCATTATGTTAATCAAGCGGTCACCATAGGCCACTGTATGCGGCCGAAGAAACATGGCAACTTTGACACAGTGAAGAACTGAGTCGGGCACACGCGCCTCCCTTTGGAGACAGCCTATGATCTTTTACACATTGTAAGTTAGTCAAACGCTCGATTTAGGGGCGAAGTAGACTTTTAGCACGTACGATTTGATATCGCAGCTGCAAAAAGAGCTGCAGCCCATCTGGGTCCTGGAGCTGCTCCACACCTCGCAGCTCTAGCAGCGCTACAGCGCCACGTATGTGATTTGTCCAACTGTCAATAAAGCGCGAACCTCTACTGGTAATCACCTGGAAGACATTAGAATCAGGACTTGAATCAAGCAAGGTCGACTTACCTCGAAGATAGCCAACATAAGCACTGCGGCAAGCGTTGCATTGTTCTTAGCTTGTTGTTGATCTGCAACAGCCATGGTGAGGAGCTGTAAAGCATTTCCATACTCCTTCTCTGCGGCTAATTTCATCGGTTCAGATTTCCTGATACGCGAGATCATTGCTATGCCAACAGAAGCCAAGCTGGTCATCAGGGCGTCATGGCTAGTTGCCGATGCCCTGCGCAAGATATCGGGATTTGCTTCAATCTTTGACCAGAACGATCCGATCCAAGCATTCTGCCGAAGGAAATAGGAAATAGCTTCATTTTTGGTCGGTTGATACGATGGCTGCAACACTAGGGGCTGTTGTATGGCGTGCTGCTCGACAAATTGTGGGGATAGACACACAGGACCGTCGAACTCAGGCGGTTCCAGATCGCCGGTCGATAGAGATGGATTACTGCCTGCTGGGGAACACACTGGGTCTGGACTAGGACTAGCAGCTACCATGCCACTGCCACTGGGGGAAGCAGCAGCAGCAGCTGGGGCACTACAGGTACTAGTACTACCAGGGTCGGTCTTTCTAGAAGACTTGGCTCTGCGGGCCTTTGTCCCGGTCCGCGCTTTCCGGATAACTTGCTGGCTTTCATCCCGAAACATCAAGGATAGTTGGTCGCGGTATCCGGGACAGACCCGGTTGCCCTTGGCACATTGTGAACAGGTAGGACGGGCTTGGTCGCACCGGATTTTGCGAGACCGGCATTCGCCGCAGCCCTTGCTTGGTTTGCCGCAGAAAACCATGTCTAATACTAGACAGGGGCGGGGCGTCGCACGGAATGCAATGTGGCGCTGTGGACTAATCAAACTAGAATCCAGCATGAGTATACATTCTGACCTGACCAGATTTGGAGGATAGCGGGGGCCAGTTTGACGTGCAGCTGAATCGGGTAACCAGTGCGAAGCTCAGGGGATGGGGGAGGCCAGGGTTCCAACCTTTGTACAGCAGACACTTGTAGTAGTGTCACGGCAAATACAAAACTATCTGATGATCTTCATGTCTGGGAATTTCCGACGAGGAGCGCGGAATATGAATGAAGTGAGGACTTCGGAGAACGTTTGAGGCTGGTCGCTGCTGGCCGAGATGCCTGAGGCGCAGCGATCCCCACGTCCACGTGCATCTTACCCTTAACCCGATCGAGTATCCCTTGCGATGGTCGCGTTGCTTAGCACTTGACTTTAACTCCTTTAAAATCATCGTCATTGGGTGGGCTTACTATCCCATGCTTTATACAGATTTTAATTCATCCTTCTATTGGAACCTGTGGCTTACTCCTACGTCACTCAGACGGTGCTTATCTTTCAGCTAAAATGGTACTAAATTGACTAGGCCTCTTGGGAATTCGTTAAGCATGCAGTCATCATATAAACAAACATGTGGTGTATATACAGTATAGGCTTTTCACATCACTACTACTAGTGATAGGTGATCTCCGACCATCAGGAATCAGAGAGCTGGTACTCTTTTGGAACCACAGGCCACTCGTCCACACCGTCCAACAACGCCAACGCCATGCCACCACTCAGATGCACCTGAATATGGCAATGGAGCAGCCATGCACCGGGATTTACAACATGGTACCTGATCGCCAGCCACGTGTCTTCGGTCGCCGCAGCCGGAGTGATGAAGGTATCCCGAATCTGAGGAGTCTTAAGGTTGAAATTCTCCGGGATATATTGCATCGCTTCAGCCACAGATGAGTAATTCCACGCGCCGTTGCCTTGACCGATCACATAGAATTTGTTGCTATGCTTGTGAATCGGGTGAGGAGGCTGGATCTGACCGTTCACATGGAAGATCAAGTCGACCCAGGTTCCATTTAGCGTCTTGACCGTGAGATCAGGCTTAGCGGTAGATGGATAAAAGAGCAAAGGCGATGCGGCTTCCAGAGAAAGTGGGAAACTAGAGTTGCCCTCAGTCCACCGGTAGGAAGCATTGTAGTGGCCGATCCTGAGGATATGGGTCGCGGCGACCTCTGAAGATGGTGTCTCTGCAGGGAATGGCATGATCGTAGTCTCGTTCAACAGAGTGTATTTGGAAGACACAGGCGATCCGTGGATATCGATTGAAGGCACCGAAGAGCCCTTCTGAGACTTGATTGCTGTGTTGTATGTGAGGACCGCAGTCGCGTTGATGACTTGATTGATACCGGAATTCGCCGCGCGAACAGTATAGTTACCGGCAGGCTTGTCCAATTTGACAAGAACGGAGTAGCGGTTTCCGTTGGCTATAGTAACTGCATCCACCAACGTAGGCTCGATGTACCGTCCGTCAATAGCATAGACGTACATCGGGTGCTCATCAATGGAAAAGGTCAACATCGACACCCCAGCCGCGCTGATCAAGTCATAACTGGCATATCTGACAGACGGGTCTACCAGAAGACGCTCGGTACCACCATTGCCAGGACGGCAGCCATAAAACATAGAAGGCGGCATAGCGCTGTAGTTGTGAGTATATGTGCCTTGAGCGGACACTAGCGTTGGTGGAATGCATCTAGATAAACCTGTTAGATACCGGTTACACATCAGGTGTGTTACACATACCCCGTGTCAGTTAGGCTTAGGTTACCAATGAGTTGCTTCTGTTCAGCGCTGGCCAGCTCATTGAAGGCTTGCTGACCCGGACAATTGATCGATCCTTTGCCGTTGATAAGGACCGCATTGATACATATGGCGTCTAGTCCCGTCGCTTCCTCCGCACTCCACAATTCTTCCGAGGTCAAGAATCGCCAGTCGGACAGCATTATAGGTTTACTCCTCCGCTCAGCTGCTTGCATGGCTTGGAGCTCGCTTGTGCTGTTCGTGATTAGATGGAATGGTTTCTCCACTGATTCATCCGGGAGAATGTAAATCGCGCCATAGAGGCCGTCACAAATTTGACCTCTGGTGTGGGCATGGTAGAAATAACTTCCATAATTCGTCGCTCGCCATTTGTAGAGGAAACTGTCACCAGGCGCGATAGGTCTTTGCGATAAACCGGGGACGCCATCGGACCAAGGAGTGTCAAGCTGCTCGATACCTTGAAGGGGTTAGTCTTGGTTATTGCACATAATAAAGCAAAACCTACCATGGAAATGCACTGTGGTATTTGTAGGAAGATGGTTAGTAACTAGGAACTCGACATTATCCCCTTGCCGCAACTGCAGTGCCGGTCCGGGAAATTGGCCGTTCATGAGGATCATCTTGCGAGGGATGCCTGCCGGCGCCCAGTCCTCCCATGTCAAGCTGACATTGAAGCGCACCGTGTTACCGGTGGCACGCACGTGGAGATTGCTGCCATTGGCCCACGAGAGCAGAGAGAAGACTGATGCCAATAAGGCCAGTCCGAATTTGAAGGAATACATTCCAAGCAACAGAGGCGAGATTAGAAGTTATGGCAGCCGCAGCCAGACAAGCCAACACCGAAGGGAGAGCCAAGTGGCTTACCTACCCTGCCTTATATGTTCCATTGCACCGAAAGGGGCATGGAAGAAGCAAATTAGTTTACTGCTTTCGAGGCCTAATTGCCTTGCCTTGTTTCTCACTTCGTGTTCGTGCACGGGTCTGTGGCTTTTTAGCATATGCTGGCGAAAAGTTCCGACAAATTGGAACGCCTGCAATTGTTGCTTTCATGACTCAATAAGCTCACATAGCTGGCGGGCTGAGGGAAAACCTTCGATGAAGCTGATCTGGGCTACTCCATATAAAGAGGAATGCACCGGTCTCATTGGGTGATCTTAGTTCTATGGGGCTTGGGCGTCGAGTAATTGGCCATCCTGGACCAAAACTGCTGCTCAGACCCACTGAGTTATTGCAATGATCGTCGCCGATGGTGGACTGGCCCCTCGCAGGAGCCGTATTGTGTAGAACTGTGGATAGAACTATCCACGAAGGGGCTGTTCAAGACTGAGCTATCGGGCCGCTATCCGAGTTCCAGAACCCGGGATTTGATCGGGCATGTTTATGATCCATGCGGGAAAGACTGGTTGATCTGCTGTCTTAGCAAGACTCGCTCAAAAACCGAGAATTTTCCGGTGTGCTTCTCTTCACATAGCTACCTGCAGAACAGGCCAGCATGGAAACCATCATAAAATCGGCATCGCCGTAGCCAGTCACCTAAGAGCATCTGTCATCTGACAGCTGTGAGTTGGCAAGCTGATGAGTGAAAGTGAAAACTCTCATAAATCTCATCCTGACAGGCATTTGCGCTATGATTAGCGAAAGGAAGCAGACGTGGAAAGCAAACATCCCGAAGAGGAAAGCTTATCGGATTTTTCAGGCAACCCGCGGAAGTGTCAGCTGTGCATTGGCATCATCAACACTATTGGACATCATGCATACATTCCCGATAGCCGAGCAGAATTGGCAATAACAGCCGGGGGTTCTGAGCCACCGCCAACTCTCCCTCTTAGGCTACACATACACATACACAACAGCAAACGCCCACACGCCATCCCCATCTTACTGCGCAATAAATCCCCTAAAATCGTTAGCACCAAATCATCCAGCAAAAGCCTCCAAGAAAAGAACGACCTACCCATCCACCACCAACGCAGACCCATACATATAGCTACTCATCGGCGACAACATGAACGTAATCGTGTCCGCAATTTCCTCTGCATCCGCCAATCTCCCCACGGGGACTCTCGCCACTTCCTTTCGCATCACTTCATCGGGCATCTGATCGATCATCGGTGTCTGAACATAACCAGGACAGATAGCATTGATCCTGACCCCCAGAGGCGCGTAGACAATAGCATCAGCTTTGGTCATGCCAACCACACCATGTTTCGCAGCCGTATAAGAAACGATGGGTATATTGACCGGCGTCGCGACAAGACCATATGCAGATGCCACATTGACAATGACACCTCGTGATGAACGGGGACTGCACATAGCACACATTAGCACTGACCTAATCCCATCACCATCATACCCACGCCAAAGGAAAATAAAAACCTCACCTATCACCCCTCTTCTCCTGCCCCATGATCACCTTAATCTCCTCCCGACTCGACATCCACTCCCCATGCAAATTGACCCCCAACGTCTTCCCTCAATCCTTAATATCATGATCCTCGGAATACGCCATCGACCCAGCAATCCCAGCACTATTGACCGCATAATCGATCCTCTCGAATTGCTTCACCGTCTCTGATACAGCCTCATGAATAGAGACCGGATCAGTCACGTCAATGCACAGCGGCAGCGCTCTCACTCCACTGAAGCGGGCCTCAATGTCCTGGGCGATTTCCTGTGTCGCGGCGAAGTTAACATCGGCGATGGCGAGCTGGCGGACGCCGTGTCGGGCGAGGGCATAGGCGGTGGCTTTTCCGATGCCTGTGTGGTGTATTAGTTTAATGTGATTTGCTGCAGTGGGGTGAATAGGTGATAGTATAGACCTGATGCGGCACCGGTGATGAATGCGACTCCTTCGAGCATCATTGTTGAGATTGAGATAGTATTTCTGGTTTGAAGTGGGATGAATGGAAGTATATTTGAGTGATAAACTGATCTCAAATTATTCAAAGATGAAGTGGTAATGCTAGACGGCCTGCAAAAGAAGCCTTCAGTTTGATCTGGGGGTGTGACAAGCCATCCCGTGTGACAATCGTCAGGATCTCTATCATTCGCTGTCTGTCTACGTAGGTTACAGGGATAGAACCGGTACTGGGGCTATAGTTTCAGCCTGATAAGATTGATGTGCTGAATGGTAGCGGCAATACTCAAGTAACCATTGGACAAGCAGTTTACTTCTCTAGGGAATCAAGTCAAACCAGCAAGATTTACAGAATGTCATTCCCAAAGTGGCAGATATAGCCGGAGGGTATGTAGCCAATCCTTTATCAGATCAAAGGTCACGGTCCAGAGCCAGAGCGGGTGTAATATTCTCATTAGCATTCCGATTAGCTGATATCTATCTAGCAAAAATGAAGCCACGAGAGTCCCACGTAAGCGAGAGCACCCAGCCAGTTGAGCTTCTACCGAAGACGAACCACAAGAAAAAAACAGCAGGTAAGAGAGACCCAATCCAGAGATCCAGCTTTCCATGCTGCTCCAATGTTTATGAAGTCTGTCTCAAAGGTGAAACCTAAGTGAGTGTGAAAATAGCAAAGCGACTAGCCCTCGGCATCTCCAAAAGACAATAACAACGCAGTGTATTATCCCGAAAAGGTCGCCAAAGTCTCACCGTCCTCGCATCATGTGTTGACCGGTGCTACTGACAATGAACACGGTATTGGCATTTGGGACCAAACGCTGGGCCTCATTCACTTGGCGTTTCGCTTTCGGGACGAACTCAGGTGCATCTCCACGAAGAGTAGAGCTGGGGTAGTAGTTTCTGGTGTTCCCGCTCGCTCCTGCTTTGAGGCCTTGGAATCTTTCACCTTCTCCAGAGATTCCGGGCTGCACTGATCCCACAATCAGGGGCCCAGTAGCAGGCAAAGCGTAGGGTGCGTAGTGCATTGGCGCCATGGTGTACATTGGTGACATAGCACGAGTTTCAGGGCTGAGTGGAGGTCCATTAGGAGCTAGACCAGGTGCCTCATACATCTTGAAAGAGCGCTTGTTAGAAGCTTTCTCTACATGATTATTCGAGTTCGAGAATACTCACCGGCTGAGGGCCTGGAAAACGGAACTGTTCCATTTGCATTCTGTTCCAATTCTCCACTTCCTTCTGCTGGTGATCCAACCGCATGGCGAGATGGTTTGCCTGAGGCAGATTAGGGCAGAAAGTATTATGCACAGGTGCACTTGCAACGGCAGGGAGCTCAGGACCAAAGGTGTTCCGACGCATAGTCGACGGATCACAATACAGACTTGGCTGGCAGGGCTCCTCCTGTTGTCTGCGGTTTCCTCGTCTTCTATTGGTGTGATTTGCCATGATGGCTTCGATAAGACCCTGGTATCAAGAGAGAGTCAGCATCTCAAGCATGTGTAACTCATCATCAAGGCGCTCAACAGAAGGATAAGTGGGCACTGAAGCTGTTCTGCGAATCTCAGGCTCCAGCTCAAGTCTCAGGGGAAAGATCATAGTGTAAGTGATAATGAGCAGACGTGTATATCGTGAAGATGCAGTACAATGGAAGGAACGAAAGATGGTAGAGGTCGAGACAGTCGACCCGATACTGTTAAGGGAGCTGAACAAACTCACCTAGTAGTTTACTTGACCCTACCAGCGTCAACTCAGACTCGGGGGTGTACGTAGGGAAGGAACCTGGCCGGGGTGTCGATGTAACAAAGGAGAGTGCGATGCTTTGTTGCGGTAGAGAAAGAAGCGAAAGAGAAAGAGCTTGTCTGCACCAGATGAGTGTGGCGAGTCACTCTCATTCATTCGCTTGCTCATTCACCATGCCAACATCGCGCCTGAGGCGCCTACTTCTCGCTTGTGTTGGTCGCGCCCCTGTGAAATTCTTCTTCAGATCGCACACTGCCTTGGTTTCTACATCTCCGTCTACTACGCCTCAGCCTGGCCGGCAGGCGCCGGTCAGGCTGAGTGGTCATGCACAAGATCATCATATCGCGTCAGGTATGTTCCTTATCGACATCTTCAAGTACGTCAGCTCACATTCCTAGTTCTTAGTGTTTTCAGTGGAATTACCGTTCGTTCAAACACCACTTCTGTCATGTTATCTGAGCTCGGATAATGAACAGTAGTAGAGAGGACACGAACCAGAACTAGGATCAGGTTCTTAAGAGGACATGAGAAAGCTACGAATGAATACCAAGGCCACAGCAGTTGGGTTGTCAAATCTTTGACATAGTTCCATTCTTTCCCTTTCATGATCTTCTTTCTTCTCTGCCCGCCTCAGCAAGGTGTGGGGCGGCAACGAAACAGAATAAGGAAAAGAGGGACAAGGGAAGGAACAGAACCACATATTGTTGGTAAGTCTGACTGGAAATATCCTTCACTTATGCTCAATTGGCTCACACACTGATTAGCAGAAGGCAAAATCTAACCTATGACTCCTCCATCATAGCTCGAAGCTTGGTCTCGATCGACTTCCTTTCTATCATCTTCTGGTTGAGGAACTTAGAAGTGTCTTCAACGACCTCTCCCAACCGCTGGTAGCCGACGAGCAGTCTCTGAGCTTCAAGAGCCATCTATCTACATTATCAGTCATCTGTACAAGATCTGGACAGTGTTGAAGGACTTACCTCAAGGTACTGGTCTCTTTGTGCACTTGTGTTCGCTTCTCGGACTTTTCTGCAGACGGAATCACTGAGTGCATCGAAGTGTGCGCAGGTCCAGGCCGAACCGTTGGCGGATGGTTCGGTCTGCACTCCTGCATCACTAGTTGCGTTGCTCTTTGGTCTGCGAGGTTCTGTAGGGCGAGACAGAGGAAGTGGAGGCATGGTCAGGGTTTCGTGATTCCCAGCCATGGCATTCATACTGTGCGTGGCAAACGATGTTGGCGGAGCATGGCGGTTCGGTGATTCCGGAGTGGCGGGCTTGAACGGTGTCGACACTGCCTGCTGAAGATATGCAGGAGTGTCTTGGCTTGGGCTAAGGTCGATGTGGTTCCTTCCAAGTTGCTGCAACAATGAGGGAGTAGGCACAACCATCGGCGTTGATATAGCCCCAAGCGAAGTCGTTGGGTTGCGTGCGTTCTTCCCAAACTTCCTGCTCTTGAAAGCCGTCTTGCCGGCACCGCTACTGCTGCTTCGCGAGTTCAATTTGGTAGCTCGGCCCACACGACTCTTCTCTGCGCCACGAGTCTTCTGCAAGATACTACGGAGGCTAAAGGCCTTCCGAGCAGTTGCATTTGAGACGGGCGGGATGATCTCATCGAAGGTAGTATGAGGTCCGTGGCTATCGATTTCGGCTGGAAGACCTCGCAGTGGCTGGCGAGAGACTGATCGTGGTGGAAACCTATCGTGAGCTGTGGCGCCCTCCGTGACCTCTGGCATTGAGGTATTGCGAGATATAGGGGCACGGAAAGGGCTTACAGGCTCCGACAAAGTGATGGTCAAGTCTCCTGCTCTCATTAGTGTGGTCGTTTGGTTGCGTGTACCAGCGCCGGAAGAAGACGGTCTCTCGATGTATTGTTGGCGTGGCGTGAGTGGTGGCTCATCGCCCGCACATGCATCTTCGGAAAAGAGCTCTGTCTGGTTTTCGGGCGCTGGCTTTGGTTTGTTGTGTCGTGCCTGGCCCCCAACCCCGCTTCTTGTAGCATTTCTGGGGGGGATGGGGGGTCGGTCGACATCTTTGGTGATTGGGAGGTGGGGGGTTGGCGAGGAGTCGGAAGAGTATTCGTCGTCTTCGCTGCTTGTTTGCTCGGTTGACACTGGCCTGTCAACATACCGAAGTTTCGCGGGGTCCGACCATTGGGTAACGGCATAGTTCGGGTTACTTTTGCCTGTTCCCATAATGATCTCGTCGGCCGCAGATGCGATTTTCAGAGTTGGGCCATGTGGCAGACGAGTTACTCGCTGCGTGAGAGGAGTGCGGTTTTCGCGCTGGTCGTCATCCCAGCCTGGTGTATTGCGAGCTCTTTCGATTAGAGGTTGGTAGTGAGGCATGCAAGACACCTCTGCTACCTGAGCATCTCCAGCAAGTTCCTCGGCTAATGCCTGGCGCCTGTCTACAGCAGTGGGGATAGCACTACGCGGCTCATAGCTTGCACGCGTCCCTTGTGGCGAATACGACTCGAGTCCTGCGCCAACTTTCTGAGTGTATCTGCTGGGGATATGAAGTGGGTGGACTGGGTGGGAATGCAAGGCGGTATATTTGTTTACCCCTGCGTCCCGCCAGAAAGTGGAATCATCTTTTTGTGGGTTAGCATGAGTGTTGCACGATCCGACAGCATGTACCTACTAGGGTTATACGGCGATGGATAAGCGATCGTCTGAGCCGGGTTGATATCCCGGGTGTATGGGTAACCACTCCGTGTGGCTCCTAGAAAGTAATTAGCACAGAGCAGTATGAATGTGAAACACCTTTGTGCTAGGACAGCTCGGTCATTGATGCGAAGAAACATAAGCTCAGGCACGAATATACCAGGCTCACAACCACCGACGCCATGTCCCATCGTAAGTGCTTCCCACAGAAGACACCATATCCAACTTTTGACAACACAAAATCCAAAGACAATTCTTACCTCTGATATCCCGACGATTATCCTCACGCCCCGTGGCCCTGGTGTTCTCTGCAGGAGAGATCACTTCCTCAAGGGGATATCTGGAAGAAACGTTCTTCGTGTTGGAAGACATTGTGGGGGTATGAGATGTTAAGTGTATCAGGCACAGATGAAGATTGGAAGTGAGACGAGAAGAGATATGTAGTTCGAAACACTTTACTGTGTCTGTAGCAGAAGACCCTCGAAGGATGTGACGATATGAGAGAGATGTAGTTTTAAAACACGTAACTCTGTGTCTGTAGGAGAGAGAACTGATGGCCTCAACAAGGTTATCGCAACTGTTCTTCGGAATCAGAACGAGAGGGGAAGAAATAACAAGCACGTATGATGTTGGTGTTCTTCAGAAGAGATGCAGAGAGAAGTATGTAGTATGAGACACGTTACTCTGTGTCCGTAGAAGAGGAAGCTGAAGGCCTCGACAAGAGTATCCTGACTGTCTTGAATACGCGGATGAGAGGGGGGAAAGCAAGTAAGCTGCTGTTGTTCTTGAGAGAGGAAAAAAAATACAAGAGACGGATGTAGTCTCAGAACACGTAACTCTGTGTCTGTGTAGAAGAAAGCTGGGGGTCTCAGTGAGAGTATCTCTGCTGGCTTGAAGATGAGAACAAGAGGGACAGAAGAAAGAAGCAACTATGACGGTGTTGTTGCTTGAGAGAAGATGTAGACAAGATGTGTTGTAGATGACAGATGGAGGCAAGAACAGCAGAGGATGGACGCGACCTTCAGCATGTTCTATAGAACACAACAAGTGTAGTGAGGGAATTAGTGTGTTAGAATCTCAAGGAAACAGAACACGACGCGAGAAATGAGAAGAGAAGACTAGATGCTAGATAATCTTGATCATCCAAAGCAAGCAAGCACACAGGAGATCTAAATGAACGCGCTTTTCAACAAGTACAGAGAAGCCTGAAGCTGCAAGACGAAGCAGAAGATGCTATTGAAGATGCCTGAGAAACGAAAGTAGACGGAGCGGAAGAGAATGTGGGAGAAGCGAGTGTTGGCCGGGCAAGGGGAATCAGTCAAAAAGACATCTCCTGCTCAGTTTGGTCAAGGAGCAAACGAAAGCTGTGCTCCCTGCAAAAAGACAAGATGGGAGAGCGTAAGATTGACGGCAAGAAACAAGCATCAAGAGGGCTGTCCGCAGCATTCACCGGGAGGGTATGGTGTGCTGCCGTAATGGTCTCTGATACCAGGCGACTAGGCCCAGACTGGCTACCAGGTTGCATGTATATGCTCCTGGCAGGCTATCAAGGACAGAAAGACCCACAAGGTAGAGAGATCTCAGACTGCACTTGCTTCCACTCATATACTCAGTGGTCATGGACAGTACTTCTTTGACTAACCATGGGAGTCGGAACTTGACAGCATCCGTTCTGCAAAACGGAGATGTCTGGACGTCCTAGGTTAGCCAATTCGATATCTGTTTGCCTTTGGCGTCATTCCCAATGACCGGGCCACAATGGCAGGGAACCTGCACGAGAGCTAAGCCAATCCCTTATCTTGACATCGAAGACTGGCCGATCATTCTATGTCATAGGCTGCCAAGCTTGTTGCTTTTCAGAATACTTCCAGACAAGATGAGTTTGACTGACGATAGCTTCCGTCTCAGGGTTCGGTAGTACCAAGTCTCGATGCGTCTGCTTTGTTGCGCTTTGACTAGGCTTTGAATGAATCGGCTTTGGTATGCCACTTCTTGCAGCAGTCACTCCACGGATTCCACACTCCTCTGCGTCGTGGGCGCTATCATAAGCTGGAGGATATAAGGTGCATGGCAACCATTGGCACAGTGCTGGCAATATCCAGACCATGGTTGGACAATGGAGGTCTATACGTGGCCCTTGCCGTCTGATGCATTGAGTCCTTAGGGCTCCATGCATGGGGCATAATCCAAGCAGACACATTAGGTGCTTGTCGTCGCTGGGGTTGCTCCTTCTCAGGCCTGAAATTCTCTCTTGGGCTTAGGACACAAGTCTCTCCATTAGGGCTATTAGAGACAACATCGATCTGGGGATATTGTCTGTCCAACTTAGAAGCATCGAATCTCAAAACCCAACATGAGTGCATATGCAGCCAACCTATTATCATGGTTAGTGATCATCCTATTTTGGCAGAACAAGGGCTAAAGCTATCCAGCAAAGACCTACTCAGCAGACATCCTTCCGCACAAAGCTCCCTTGTCTGTATTCCTGCGTGAAGACGCGTCACCAGCACAGAGATATGCTGTTCCCGTCCAGTTCAAAGAGAACCAGAACAACATGCCCTAACAAAAGCTTTGATACTCGAACAACGGAATAAAGACATGGAGGGTGACTGTGGCTCTTGTCCAGTCACCCTCCATGGCTCTGAGAAGAGGCGAGAAAGAGAGGATGAGGATTCTCAAGTGTTTTTTGTTGTGCAAGGTAGGTAAACTTGTCCTTCACTTTTGTGAAGATACGGCAACTTAGGCGAGGCGATTCCCGAATAGGAAGCTTTGCAGTGACGGGAGGCGCGCCTGGGGAATGGTTCGCACAGAGATAATTTGGGGTGTGATTTGGATTTATCTACTGGTTAATGGGCTTGTCAGTGTAATTGCTGTTCACCTGTCAGGTTTGATGTAGTGAACCAGCGATCCGTGTCATTAATCTTGATGTGCAGGACGAACATGCATCTACTGTCATGCTTCGTGAATTAGTTGAGATAACGTCTCTGCTCTTTACAGTCAACTTATGATATGATCTTATTTGAGAGGGTCTTCAATGACTAAGTACACAATGAGTGGCCTCCGGACTCCAGATTAGACATCGACCACCAACTCTCTAAGTAGATTCGATATCCTCCACATTAGTATGATGACCGCGCTTTCGTTTCCCCGCCGCCTGCGTACTATCGCTCGTCCACTCGCTAATCTCCCACTCGAAACTCGTAGACTGATCATCACTAACCCCTACGCCACGCCTAGTCTTCATCATCCTCCCCAGTCGGCTGCCCTCCACCATCTCTTCGAACCACGGGATCCCGCCCAGTGTGCCATGTCTGTAACTCCGTGAGACCGCCGACCCAGGTGGGATGACCACATCTGACGAGCGGGTGTCTTGTTGCGCAGTAGCCGGACTAACAACAACCTTTTCCTTTCCCTTCACAGGCTCCACTTCTTCCTCTTCTGTTTCCCTCTCTTCATCAGACGAATGGGGAGGCGATTCCGGAGGCAACAGCTCCAAGTCCTCTAACATGCGCTGGCCATCGCCAAACAAACTTCCTATCGACACAGACATGTAGTCCGCTTCTTCACGCGGATCCTCGCTCCAGAATGTGAGTGGCGTGCCGCAGTAGCCGCAGAAGACCCGCTGGGTGTGTGGCGCATGGTGCGGGGAGAAGATGCGACGGATGGTGCTGTGTGTTTCATCGGGGAAGTAGGATTGAGTATGAGATTGGTACCAGGTTAGAGGGACTCGAAGCCAGGCTGTCAGCGGAGCTGCGTGCAATCTTCCTGTCCATTTTGTGGTTAGTATTATTGTAAGTATATCTTAGGCGGAGTGTGACGTACGATTGTCACGGCCGGTGTCCAAGTAAACGTGGGCATGGTCAGTTATGTCGTCGGGCAGTCGGATCTGATATTGATTTCTCCCACATTGACAGGAGCCGCGGAGATGCTCGTGACTAGTCATGTTGTGGCGTTTATCTCCGATCGGGGTATCTAAGTAGTAGTGAAACAGCGCTAGTGTGAAGTCATAGATCGAGTCGATCAATTGGAAGAACGAAGACCGAGAGGACGCGACCTCAGAGTAGGCTTCTAGGCCTAATTGTATCTCTAGAATTGGTGGAGGCAGAATGGAGACAATATAATGGGGAGGTGCAGGAGAAGAAGGTATCTGAAGGAATCTAGAAGCAACCTGAACGATCGATGACGTTACGCGGGTGAGGCCGCGATCCAGGGACTGGCCAGTTGGCGGTAATCTTGGATCCTTTAATGGTACACTCCGCTCCAAGTCGATCGCGGTTCCCATTAATGGACCTCCGCTCCATTGGTCCAGAAACCCAGCAAGTTCGTTCCCCCCTAATGAGCTGGAGTCTGCAATGACACTCTAGTCTTGTCTCCTTTCGCTTTACATATCTCATCATAATCTTCGTTCATTATCTCCCACTCAGTCTCTCACTTTCATATCTGTATTGTTGTTGTTTCTCTGTTTTCTCTGCTCTTCTCTTCCCCGCAGAACTACCCTGTTTGGTTGTCACATGAAAATCCCACCCCAGCAAGAAGCACATGATACTCGCTGTATGAACGACAACAATCGCATTCTCTCGTCCACTCCTATATACTCCCAGAAGAACCACGATGCCATCTGCACGACCTCCTGCCTCCCTGGCTTCCAGCTCTTCAGAACCATCCTACTCTCCCCTGCCCGGCGGCGCAACCACTCATTCCGACGATCGCGACGACCGTTCCCCATCCACCACACCCACCGGCAACTCCTCCAAGCCCGCCTCGGCCTCTTCAGCGGCCAACGCACAAGACAAGGACAAGCCGCGGCTCACCGAGCAGGAAAAGAAGAATAACCACATTGCTTCGGAGCAGAAACGCCGCGCCGCGATCCGGGAGGGCTTCGATCGATTGACCGAGCTGGTGCCTGGCTTGGAGGGCCAGGGTCGCAGTGAGAGCATCGTGCTTCGCAAGACGGTGGACTTTATCCAGCTTCAGCTGCAGGAACGACAGGAATTGATTGCGGAGATTGAGCGTCGCGGAGGGCGCATTGATGATTCGTTTCGCAACTGATGCTGCCGAGGTCCGAGCGGCATGCTGTTGTTGATGATGATGACTATGACTTGCTTTTGAGGTGGATGAGACTATGCAACATGCGTCACGCGACTCTTAAATGATATTTGGAAAGGAAAAAGTCCGGCGCTGGGTCTTGACCGGTTGGTTGGTAGTGGTGATATTGTGCAATTGCAATGGGCGATGGTTGTGGTAATTTCTTTTTGGCCTCTACGGAGGCTTCTCGGCCTAGGGTCTTGAGGCGGGATGGCGTTGTATTTGGTATATATGGATGAGAAGGTCCTGATTGTTACTGTTGAGATTGTTGCACTGCTGCATATATACATTGGCGGCATTATGAGTTCAGTTATTTATTTAGCAGATACTACATGTTGAAGCCAGACTGGAAATGGTAATTACTGTCATGCAGCTTTCCATATGGAGTAGACAGTAATCGAAACCATATGCAGGGAGACAATCTGTACCACACCAACTCTCCTGAAGCGTTAAGCTTAACCTTAATCCCAATACTTAGCATACTACAAACCGAGCAACAAGCATGCAGCATGGACCACCATCACATGCACGCCCAACTCGTATCACTATCTCGTATCTATCTACTATCTGCATTATCACAACTGCCGAGTCTCACCGCCCGTCTATCAAATTCAACACCACCACCATACCCCCATCACGACCCATACTATACTACCCAACACCTCACCCAAAACACCTTTCCCACCACCAACCAACCTCCCACCCAACCCAAAAGGGGACATCTCCAAAATGTCCGACAGCAAACAATCCCTCCTCTCCCAAACGGAGCCCGAATCCGACGACCCCCCACCAGCCTACACCACCAGCAACACCAGCACCACCAGCACCACCAACCAACCGAACCACCAAAAACGCGCCTCCCTCCTCCCACGCCCACCCCCGCTCTCCCTCCCAATCCTAACCCACCTACGCTCAAAGCGCTTCATCCTCGCCTCATCCTCCCCTCGCCGCCGACAAATCCTCTCTCTCCTCTCCCTCCCCAACATGGAAATAATCCCCTCCAACACACCCGAAGACCTACCCAAGACGCTCCCCCCCTTCGAATACGTCCTCCAAACCGCCACGCAGAAGGCACAAGCCGTGTACGCGCAGGAAATCGACTCGCCGAAAGGCGACCCATTCATTCTAGCAGCGGACACCGTCATCGTGGACACTTCCACGGGGAGTATATTAGAGAAGCCGCGGAGCGAGGCGCATCACATCGCGATGTTGAAGGGGTTGAGGGATGCGGGGGAACATAAGGTGTATACGGCGCTTGTGGCTATGACGCCGTTGGCGAGTGCGAGGGTTCCCGGGTATGCGTTGGAGAGTTGTCTGGAGGAGACGAAGGTGTGGTTTGATCAGGGGGTTAGTGATGAGGTTATTTTGGCGTATGTGAGGACGAGAGAGGGCGCGGATAAGGCGGGTGGGTATGGGATTCAGGGGCTGGGGAGTATTCTTGTGGAGAGGATTGAGGGCGGGTTTGATAATGTGGTGGGGTTGCCGTTGAAGAAGGCGCTTTGGTTGATGGAGAAGGTGGTGGTTAGGGCGGATGATGAGGATTTGTTGGATGGGGAGGGGGGGAGTGATGAGGAGGGTGAGGGGGAGGGGGAGGAGTAATTGAGTAGTATGAGTTTAATGTGGAGTAGTAGTTTGGTTTTGAGGGATTGATGGAAGGGGGACGGGTATCTATGTATATAGTGATGATGATAGAAAAAGTAAAGGTATATTTCAAAGTACATCTTTTATAGCTCGATGAGCCAAAATATAGGAATCAGAACATGTACACAGAGGCAGAGAGCGGCACATACGCCCAAAACAAACCACAAGCAGTAATAAAACTAAAACCATGTCACAAAACAACACACATCCCTAGGAGTCTATGCGTTCCACACCCGGCGGAGAGCCTCCGTCACACCAACGTCGTTCGTCTCGAACTCGTACAGACCGACAGCCGTGCTGAGGGTGAACGCGCGGAGCAGCCAGATCATGAAGGTGTGGGTCTTGGGGACACGGCGAGTAGGGAAGTAGTCGGTGATGGAGGCGCTGTTATTTATTAGCCTCTAGTCTTAGATTCCACACGCGCGCGGGGGGGCTTAATAAAGGCAAAGAGAGGGAGGAAAGACGTACTGGAAACCGATGTGAGAGTGAACCACGATAGCGGAGCAGAGGACGGCGTCCATGACGGGGCTCATGGAACCAGCAGCAAAGGGAGCAATGCAGAGAGGGACGAGACCGGCAGAGACGATTCTATTATCGTTAGTTTTCCAATTCCCTGTTTATCGATCCTTCGACCCATCCATATATATCCGATGGATATCAAGATAGAGGGTTAACGCACCTCTCAAAAGTCCAGTGGTAGCTACCCTCGGTAGGGTGAGACTTGGGGATGGGAGCGGGGTCGTTCACTGCGTCGAGCTGTCAGAGCATATTCCAAACATTATATGCATATCGGCCCTTCAAGTTCAATCATGGCTGGCCGAGCAACATCGATATCCCGAATATCGAATTCCCGTAGACAAAAAACAAAACCAATAACCGAGCAACCGGAGAAATCACGTACTCGTTCCCTGAATAGTCTCTGCAACCACCAACTCATTAGCATAACCCTTCCCAAGTATCCATTCCCATCCAATTCATATATCAAGAAACTCACGAGGCAAAGGAGGCAAGATCTGTTTCTTAGCGGAAGCATGGAAAGCCACGACCTGCGCGACATTCTTAGTCGCGAAGGGAGCGCGGAACGCCGACCGGAGGAGGGGAGAAGACTGGCGCGCGATGGAGGCCATTTTGCAGGATGTGCTTTTGCTGTAGGGAGTGGAGTGGAGGAGGTGGGAGGTGTGGTGACCGCGATGCTCAGCGCTAGATAGACACAAGCACAGCAAGTGACAGATGCAAAGGTGAACTGAAGTTGAGAATGGAACCTCGGGAGTCCGATCGGGAATACGGTCATCATATTGTCGTGCCTCTGATTGGTGGAGGGTGCTCCGCCCAGCCGAAAATGGCCGATGTGCCGGCAAAGGTATCTATCATCATTCTACCACAGTATGGCAGTGCGAAGGGGATGTGTAGGGCTTACGACCGAATTATGATCTTTGATGCTGTGGGAATTACTTTCTCTACTTGGATTTGTTGTCTAAGGTCTCGTTGTGCTGGACGATTCGATAGGAAACTCATGGGGTTCATGCCTAAGGCATTACTCCCGTACCCGATTGCCGACAGTCACACGCAAGGAGAGATGATATGGATGGCAGATGCTGGACCCGTGGTACCTGCATCATCGAAAACAACTATTAACTATAAAGCAGCTACATCTTTGAAGATAACAAGTAAATTCCGAACTGTACTCTATACCCAACCATCGTCTACCTCTAATGAGCCAGTTATCACATCATCCATATACACATTGCATACGAAGCCATCCCGATTGCACCGGGTCTTTGGATATTATAAACAAACACAATGAAGAAGAAAACACAAACCTTTTGTCATGAACGGTATCTAGCAACCACTTTTACTCGCGGCAGATCATGTGGTCACGAGCCGGACCAGTACCGATCCACTTGACGGGAACACCGCCCAACCCGCGCTCAATGTACTCGATATACGCGCGAGCATTGGCAGGCAGGTCCTCGTACTTCTTCACACCCATGGTGTTGCTCTTCCAGCCGGGGAGGGTGACATACTCGACCTGGACCTTCTCCAGGACTTCCGGATCGGCGGGCATCGTGTTCTCCGTACGGGTGCCGTCGGGCAGAATGTACGCGACACCGACCTTGATTTCGTCAAAGTCATCGAGCACGTCCAGCTTGGTCAGATTGAGAGCGGTGTAGTGGTTGATAGCGTGGGAGTAGCGGCACAGGACCATGTCGAACCAACCGCAACGACGTCTACGGCCGGTGGTGACACCGAACTCCTTACCCACGCCCTGCAGCTTGTCGCCGAACTCGTTCAGCTGCTCACTGGGGAAAGGTCCCGAGCCGACACGGGTGGTGTAGGCCTTGACAACACCGATGATGGAGCTGATGCTGGTGGGGTTGAGAGAGAGGGCCTGGACGGCACCGCCCAGACCGGTGGACGAGGAGGTCACGAAGGGGTAAGTGCCGTGGTCCAGGTCCAGCATGAGAGCGTTGGCGCCCTCAACGAGGGTGTTGGGGGCGTCCTTGTACTTCTGGAGGAAGGCCAATTGATCGACGATGTAAGGGCCCAAGCGTTGACGGTAATCCTGGTTTTGTTAGATGCTCCTGGAAAGGTGCTTCCGAGACCAACAATACATGGCGAGGGAAAGGTCATCCTACCTTGAAACGAGCAAGTTCCTCCTCAACGTTGTATTCCAGCTCACCAAATCTAGCGCGGTAGCCGGCGTCCAAAGAGCGCAGCTTACGCTCGAAGAGAGCCTCGTCGAGAATCTCACCAACACGGATACCGCGACGGGCGGCCTTGTCACTGTAGCAGGGACCGATACCCTTGCCGGTAGTACCGACCTTGCGACCGCCCAGCTTGGCCTCTTCCAGGCCGTCTACGACGGAGTGAAGGTCCAAGCAAACGTGCGCACGGTCGGAGATGAAGATGCGCTTTCCAGCGCCCTCCAGACCCTTGTCCTCCAGAGAAGCCAACTCCTTGAAGAAACTAGGGACGTGCACCACGGTACCGGCGCCAATCAGGTTGACACAGGCGGGGGAGACGAGACCGGAGGGAAGGATGTGGAAGTCGTAGGTCTTGTCACCGTGGACGATAGTGTGACCGGCATCTATCCATTCCATTAAACAATATTCTCCGAAGAGAGAGAAGGAAAGACTTACTGTGGCCGCCAGCGGCACGGCAGCAGAGCGTAGCCTCCTGCGCAAGCATATCGGTAATCTTTCCCTTTCCTGTAATCGCAATAAATCAGCCATGCCCCAGTTATTTTATTCCAATCAATCGATCAATCAATCGATTGAAATCGACCTGTGAACTGCTGGGTAAATAAGATGACAACCCACCTTCATCACCCCACTGACTACCCAGAACAATTGTGACACCCATGATTATTGAATTGAATGTAAAGCCACGAAATATATCTCAATTAAGCAGCTCAATTGCGAATTTACCCAGCGGTAGATGTGTGTGTGGTGTGCGTGCGAAGCAAGAAGACAAAAAATAGTCACTCAAGATCGAACGGCAACGCGGGGCACTGAATGCGGGATGAAATGAGTCACTGATCTCAAAAGAGCAGCAGCAACAATCTCTAATAGAGTGAAGTAAGAGAGGATAAGATAGAAGAGTAAAGATCAATTAAAGCACACTGAGACAAATCTTGGAAGATAATCTGCAGTGACTGGAGCAGCAACGTAGGTTCCGTAGAAAAACCTCGCGACCGTCAAAATCCAAAAGCCGAAAAAAGAACCAGCGGAGGGGAACTGGCTGCGGAGGCAAAGAATGATATATGGGCGGGCGGACAGTCAAGTTCAGCCAGCGGCGGGGGCCGGGACGAACTCGGTGAGACAAGAGAGGCAGAGCCACAGTTTACTATACAGAGTAACTAAACGATAGCCATGAGTGATTCCTGCTACTAATCCATTCCTTTTACTTACTTGCTTACCATACCGTTACCCTCAAATCCGGTTGTTGGGCGGGCCTTTTCGGTGTTTCCCGCTTCCTCCCCATGACTCCTTTCTTAGGGTCTCCGTATTGCCGGTACCGGTGCTCGTTCCCCGCGGCGGGGTTCGGTCGGATGCGGTATTGGACGGCACAATACATCGTTGCCTATTGAAGATTAGTGCCCTACGTACCCCTAAGCTAGGCTATTTGGAGGCATTTTGAGTCAGGTGATCTCGGCAGAGGTGAGTGATTATTGCCTACTTCGGCTAGAGACCCTCACCTCCAGAGAGGAGAGACACTAGGGACGGTTTGATACAAGATCTGTACAATAGCAATTGATATGAGTTGGCTAAGTAAGTATAGTGCTATGATGTTGGACGGTACAAGGAGGACATATGAACGGGCATGGCGAAGACATCCATTCCGGAATGTTAAAGACAGGAGGACATTACCTTATGCAGACCCCCGGCACTAGAACATGCTACTCGAAGACTTTCACAGGCATTTTTTGGTGAGACTTCCGAATGTTTACATTTACACATCACAGTAGATAGTGGGGATGCAAGGGGTTACACGGGCATGAGGTTGGCCAGGGATGTACACAGTAAAAGTAGCACCCGAGGAACGCTACATTGCTACTATCCTATCGTCACTGATTTCACAATAGCGAAAAAAAAAAGTCAGGATTTATACTGTGCGGTAATTAACAAGAAGAGAAATACTATTAGAATACAAAAATAAAGCCAAATCATGGATATAATCAACAGGTTATCCGGAATTATTGCTGCTGCTGATTGTTCGTACACCATGCCGTGATGATTCCAAGCGTTGACAGCAGCATTCATACGACTAACCTAAATGGCAAAGAATGTTCCGTCTTTCCCTTGTCTACTATTAAAGCATATTAAAGAAGGAGCCATGTCCCAGATGGTCCAACTCGAAGAGGAAGGTACTGCAGCCTTCCCTCGAGTCTTTCCACAACTCAGAATGAACAACTCTCTATCTCTGCACTTTTCTCTACCACCAGCTAATCTTATCCAATTCCTATCCATTCATCACACCCCAATTTTCCGTCCAGCAGATGCAGAACGATCATGGAGTAGGCCATTCAACATATCTGCCGAGGTGTATGACTGTCCTCTACATATCGCATTCCCAATCATCTTTGCGAGCTCATATGTCCTAATCATCATTTATCTCAACTCCATCAATCGCAAAAGACGAAACAAGCCATGGCGACTGAGTCAGACTCGCTTCTTTCACTACCTCGTGCTTTTCCATAACATTAGTCTCTCGATATTCTCTGCATGGGTATCTTGCGGATTGCTCTCAACAGTCTACACACACCTACCGTCCCTAAAGCAAGAATCATATTCTGTGCATGTGGCCGCGACGTTATGTCACATTGAAGGAAGGCCCACTCTTCATACCAGCGTGCCAGACGTCACTGCTGCTGTATGGGATACTGAGAATGGTGATGGCTTATGGCAGAAAGGCGTGGGATATTTCTGCTGGGCCATGTACATGTCCAAGTTTTACGAGGTAACGGACACGATGATTCTGATCCTGAAGGGGAAAGAAAGCACCTTCTTACAAACATACCACCATTCCGGAGTCATGGTCAGTTCATGGGCGCTCATGCGTTCGACGTCACCTCACTGCTTGGTGGCTGCACTGCTGAATAGCGGTGTTCATGCATTAATGGTCAGTCCATAAGCTCTTTAGTACTGCTGCTGCTGCTGTATACGTTATATCCCTACGGATAGTGCTAACCAGGGAGGACCCGGTAATCGTGCAGTACCTATACTATGCTCTCCGGACAATGAAAATAGCAATCCCCATCCGCCTGAAGCGGACATTGACGGCTGTACAGATTGCCCAGTTTACCGTTGGGTATACCCTGGGTTTGAGCTATCTGTTCGTTTCGTATGATGCACCGCATGCGCGCATCTCAGTTGGCGGGGATGATGATCTCCGCGCTGATATGCAGCACACTGTGCTCCCCTGTCTCCATAAACCAGATCATTTGGGCGCGCTGCTGTTGGGGGGCTTGTATCTTGGGCCTCTGATCTATATGTTTGTTCGGCTATTTATCCGTTCGTATTTGTCTGCTGGGAAGGGGAAGATGGAATGAAAAGACGGGTTAGAGAGTGAACTATTTATTGCGAAGAGCATATGATCATGCCGGTTTTGTAGTAGTAGCTCAGTATTCCCAAATCTCTTGAGTGCGCGAATTGCAGTATGGAGTCTTCGCGTGTCTAGTATCTGAGTATAGATGAGGAAACCACATCACGGTTAGTTTTTCTGCGCTTTTTTTTTACTACATTTTATTATTAGTAGTAGTAGTAGTAGTAGTAGTAGTAGTAGTAGTAGTAGTAGTTAGTAGCAGTACTGAGAATGAATTCATCTATATAGCCCCTCCATACCAGCCCTGCCCCTACATGATAGACAAGTAATTGTAATTGTGAGATATCGTTACAGTTCCTTAGTAGGTAGTAGGTTCAACACTCTCAGACTTCGGCACATGATATATGAAGACAGTAGATGGTACAATTGATATAGTGGGGTAGGATACTACGACCTACTACTAACTATGTGGAAGACTGTATGTAGAATTTCGAGGCGTGAAGAGACGGGGAGGGATGAGATGACAACTCGTTATTATACTCTCTATCCAATAACAAACGAATTCATGACCACGATAGACTATGATACATGTATGTGTTCCCGTCTTTCAAATGCCACAGTAGTAAGTAGTAAGTAAGCAATATAACGCCAACGCCCATACCCAATGCAATCAATAGTAGTAATAGTACTCGGCCGTCTCTAAAACGCCTCTGTTGAGCTATAGTCATGCCCATGCTCATACCCCTCTATACCTATACCAACTTCCCCCCATTTAAAATCCACTCGCGCATCTCCCCCAGCTTGAGTATACACTCTCGGTGCATTTCCCTCGCGACTTCCCAATGCTTCATGACTTTGGCATCTTCATCCAGACCGCGCAAGTAGGCGCTGAATCCGGCTTTGCCGCTGCCGGCTACCATGCTATCGTCGCTTTCATTGCCATCAGCCTTTTTGGTGTCGTCTTCGTCGTCCTGGTCCGGGGCGTCTACTTTGAGACGCGCGGAGTCTCCAACGGCGCTAATCCAGTTCGGAGCCATTCCTGTCTCGATGGCTTCTTGGCGCGCGTTGAAGTGGCGCAGGATACGGCGGTTGAAGGTGGTCCATTCGCGCATGTATGTGTTCATTTCTGCGGCGTAGCGCTCCCATGCTGCTCGAGGGAGACCGAGTTGCTGGGACCCTGCGCTGATGGGGACTAGTTCTGGTGCGGTTGGTCGCTTTGGTGGGTTCGGACAGACTAATTGGCGAGCTCGGACATCGCGCATTGTTGTCCTCGGGACGTTGGGGCGGGACTCGAATGGAAGGTTGGCTTGGATGTCTTGCAGGTCGTCAATGCCGCCATTGCTGGTCGGTGTGAAGGGCATCGTGCTGGTGAGGTTGGAAAAGTCAAATGACTTCGTGTGATGGACCTTTCCTTTCCTGGAGGTTGGCCTCATCTTCGGTGGGGGCATTGCCTTCGCTGGGTCTTCCTTGGGCTGATCTTCCTTGACCTCGTCTTCCTTGGTCTTCTCTGGCTCTGCAGCTGGTGCGGTGGTGTTGACAGGCGGAACATCGTCGACGTCCATAGCTTCTACATCAGCAGTATCGGTCTTGGCTGGCTCTTGAGTAGTCTCTCCATTGATGGTGGACTCGGCTTCTTCAGCTTCAGTAGTCACACTGGCTTGGGCAGTGGGCCGGGGTTTAGCACCAGGCCTGGTTTGCTTCCGGGGACTCTTCTGGCGCTGTGAGGCAGTTGGCTGTGCTTGCTTGGCGTTGTCAGCGGTCGGAACGGCCCACGAGATGTTCGCCTTTCGCAGCTCCTCGATCCATGCATCGGCAGAGAACTTCGCCTGGGCGAAAGGCGTGGGTTGTTGGGAAGTCGCGGACTCTGAGCGCGGCGATTTGGGGTTTGAGGCACCCGTAGAGCCCGCTGTTTGACCTAAGATATCTCGGTTTGCACTTCGACCGCGTGCGCGTGAATCTTGCGACTCCTTGTCCGACTGCGCCGCACCAAAGAAGTCTGTGCCTTCCCAACTCCGGGCAAAGAACGGCTGACGAAGCTGCTCATGGCTGCTGCTCTTGAAACTCCTGTTCGGGGTATGTGCGTCCGCATTAGAGGCGCCGGAGCTATACACGTAAACCAGTTAACTTATGACCTATTGATGGGTATAGTTCAACATACGCTTTTAGGGGACTCCCGTCGCCAAAGAATGCAGATGTATCGAATACATTTTTGGGTGGACTGGGTTTCTCAGAGTCAAGGCCTTAAGAAAAAGGTCTTCGTTAGCAACTAGATTCTATCCTCAGTCACCAACTCGGCTGCCCAGCTACTCTTTTAAGGTTTTTAACCGCGGGCGGTAGACTAATTCTTCATGATGATATCGCTTACCAGTTGTCTTACGACTCTTCTCAGTGTGGAAGTCGCTGAACTTCTTATGGGCACGAAGCCGGCTTTTAGGGACCGCCTTGGGCTTGCGCGCCAAGAAGTCATCATCCTCCGAATCACTCGAGCTTGTAGATGTATAATTCCGGTTATCTTTCTTCAACTTGGGACTAGCGCTCCGGTGTCTGCCACTCTCCGGAGGAGTGGGGCTAGGTGGGTTGGTCCTGGGACGGGGTTGAGGACTCGCCGTCGAATCGCGCATGCTAGCAGAGCGTCCAAGCTCGGCACTCGAGAAAAATGTGCGCTCTCCGCCAGCGGTGGCATATCTGCTTCTCACTCGTTCAATGTCTG